TTATTGAAATAAACATTATTATATACATATATATATATTACAGAGGCCGAATATATAGTTTTTAGCATTTTTGTCTGTCTATCTGTCTGTTACCGCATCACAGAAAACCACTGAAGGGATTTTGATGAAATTTGGTATGGTGATAGCTGGTTATCCGGGTCAACATATAGGATACTTTTTACCGCGGGAAAATATCTCATTTCTGAGAAAAAATACAAAAAATGCAACGTAAGAGTATAACTAATATGTAAAATCTAAGAATTTGATTTTTGGTCATCTGAACGCGGGCGGAGCCGCGGACAATGCTAGTATATAATATAATGCGAAAGTTTGTGAGGATGTCTGGATGCATAGATGTATGGATGCTTGTTACTCTTTCACACAAAAACTACTAAATGGATTTTAATGAAACTTTACAATAATATGGCTCATACATTAAAATAACACATAGGCTACTTTTTATCCCGGAAAAATGTACGGTTCCCGCAGGATAGATTTGTTTTTGTTTTTCTAGAGGTGAACTCGAGAGAAGCGAGGGTCAGCCGCTAGTACTATATATAAAATATTATATGGTCCGTCCGTCTGTAAACATTAGGAATTATTAGAACTTTACATAGTTACAGTATCACCATGATTAATATGGATTTATAATATGTACAAAATACAAAATTTTCACAACAAATTCAATTAAGCATTACAATTAATGTACTTTTGCTGATAATATTATACATAATTTTACTTCATCACATGCATATTATACATGCGAATGTACATATGTGTGTTCGTTTGTTACTCCTAAACGGCTGAACGGATTTGGATGAAATTTAGTACATAGATAGACTGAGCTGGAGTAACACAGGTGATTATTATTAGTAATAAAATTTGCCGAAAGGTGGCGCTATCTGTACCTACCTATATAATATTACTTGTTTTTACCCGCGACTTCACTCGTGTGATAAGTGGAGCGAAGTTTCCGATAGACTTCCAAAAAAGAGAAGGTTCTAAATTTGTATGTATATAGGTATTTACTTTTTCTTTTTTTGGGTGGCGTAAAACAAACGGAAATGCGGAAACCTTATAGGATCACTTCGTTGTCTGTCTGTCTTTCTGGCAAGACCCTTCAGCGAAATCTAAACCTGTTTCCCGTTATTTCCCGTTGAGTTAGAATCATGAAATTTAGCATGAAGCTTTTTACAGCACAAGTAAAGGAAAAAAAATCTAAAAACCGAGAATTTATAGTGACATAACAAAAAATCATTTTTTAATTTTTCATTCTACGATACCTTTGGTGTGCGAGTCAGACTCGTACTTGTCCGAATTGTTAATTATTGCACCGATTTTTTTTTGTCATATTTACCGATTTTGTCCTTTAAATATTATTCCATGAAGGTAGATCCCGAAGTGGGCCTCAAAAATGTTTTTTGACATAAACTATACAGTATCGAGAAAAACAGAAAATAATAAGTTGAAATAAATGCAAGCAAATATAAAAACAATGATGATGATTCTAGTAATCATTTTGGAGAAATGCGTGAACAAACAAACAAATAAACAAACAAACAAACAAACAAACATACGTACTTATAGAACTTGATGCATACATACGTACACACACGCACATACATACATACATACATACATACATACATACATACATACATACATACATACATACATACATACATGATGATGTTCTCCTAGCCGATTCCGGCCACGGCGGCCAATCTCAATGAGATTAGCCAACTGCGCAGGAGATATTATAGTGCTCAAGTGTACGCGCAGACACAAGTGCACTCTCTATTCCTATCACTCTCATACTCCGGTGGGACGACCACTCGACACGACCGGTGAGAGTTAAGGCGCAGGACCGACGGCTTTACGTGCTCTCCGAGGCACGGGGGTGAAACATCGCCAACTTCCCAACTCCGGGCTGTTACTGAGACTTACTATACAGGAAGACTCAATAACTAAACTTGGCCCGACCCGGGACTCGAACCCAGGACCTCCGGGTGTGGAGCCGTACATGCTAGCCACTACACCACCAAGGCAGTAATACATACATACATACATACATACATACATATAATTATAAACAAACCAGATAAGTATAAAATTTTGTATATTTGTTTGGAAGCCTATCTATTAAAGATTAATTACCTATCTTATGTGAATCAGTTCCAATAATATTTCATACATGTGTCTTTTTGTAATTTTAATTTAATTGATAACTCTTTTTTTTGAAGTCGGTTAAAAAACATGAATATTCAAAAAAATTGCATACTAACTGTGCTGGCAGCGACTTCGAATATATTTAATAAGGTATATTATCTATAGCAAATAAAAAGGCTCCGTTTAGTTAATTTTTAACTTTTTCTTATCGGGAAGTCGGTTGTAAATTTTTTTAAAGTTTTTTATTTATATTCTGCAGAGAGACATACATATTATATAAAAATCGATTTGTGTATGTATGTTCCCTTAGGACTCCAAAACGGCTGGAGCGATTTTGATGAAATTTTCAGGCAATCCCAGTGGGTAATCCTGTGAACTTAGGTAGCGATTGGTAGTTTAAACGCGAGCGAAACCGATACCGCTAGAATGGCATAAAAGAGCGGTCACGCGGGACAACGCTAGTATTATAAATGCGTAAATGTACTTGATTTATGCTAGTTTTTTTTCTAACAAAAGAGCTATAGATCGTAATATATAAATTGTAACACAGATACCTATAGATATGGGCAGTGTTAGAATTATTTCCAGGGGGCTGCATCTGCTTCTTAACATTAAACTACTAACTAATCTTTAAATGATTAACCATAGAATTTTAATTCATACGAGTATCTTATATATCATCTTTTTACGCAGATATCTAAATTTAAACGGGGATTTTACTCATGTAAATTTATTACTTTAACTTTTTAATATATTTTTCTATATGGCAGGGGGCCCCCGAGCACCCCTCTCCCGGCCCCCATGTATATAGATTATTCACCACAGTTAATAAATTCACCATAGTAAATATCGGTAATCGTCTTTCTATTATATTGTTAATGTATTAAATAAAATATTTTATGTTATGATCATAGTTTCGCGTGACATTCATTTCTTATTAGATTTTTCTTCAGAATACCTTCTTAGAAACGAGAACGAGTGATTGAATATTGATATTAAACGCCCAAAATAAATTAAAGCACAATGTTTTGTTTTAAAACAAACAACTTCTGAGTAGATTAGAGGATTTGTTTACGACTAATTATAAGAGTTCATTTTGCTAAATATGTACCTACTTACAATTTACAAAAGGCTTGTAATGGATGATAATGTAGAATTACACTATAATTTACCCAACATCATATCACCTATATATTATAAATATAAAAATTGATGTGTTTATGTATGTTCCCTATAGACAACAAAACGGCTGGAGCGATTTTGATGAAATTTTCAGGCAATCCTCGCATTGAAATATCGGGAACAAAGAATCAAAATAAAACCACTATAGAATCCGGAATAATAGTTGTATTTAAAATGGCGAATATTTGCGTATATATCTACGGAAGTAACTCAAGACATAGAGTCATAGACGGAGTTGACTAAAAAAATGGCAAAGTCAAAAATAATAGCTTGACTTTGCTTTATCCTACTATTTTCGATTTATTCTCATAATAAATTAAAGTTTCTACAGTTATTAATCGTTAATTTACAATTTTTGAGAAGAAAATATGAACAATAATGAATAATAACAAGAATAAGTATATTCTTCTTTATTTTTGACCTTTAGTTCTCTTCCCCTTGAAAGAGATATAGCATAATATTCGCTTATTTTTTTCTATTATAATAAAATCCGTCAGCAATTTTTATTCTTTAACATTTATTTACTTATCACTCAGTATACATATTGTTATGTATATTATTTTAAAACGTTATTTTTTGGTTTGATATTTAATTAAATAACACTTTAGATTATTCCTTAGTCTAAAAAATATAGCTAAATTAAAAACTCTCCTTTTGAAAGTCGGCTACAAAGTTTGTTTTTCCTCAAACAGCATTGCATTGTAATCAAAATAAGGAAAAAGAGACTTGTGTAATGTGTTAGAAAATATTACTAATAAAATGTGAATTTTTTTTAATATTATTATTATTATTTAAACAATTAAATGATAAATTATAGAATAAATACTTTTTGATCCGGAACTAACAATTTACCTCCAATTTTTGAAATTGACAGATAATCAATAATACAATTTAATTACAAATACTTACCAATTATTTATTAGAGTGCATGTACAGTAGAAATATTAAACATAACAGGAAATTACACTTTTACAAGCAAACACGTCTGTCTTCTTAGTTTTTAAAGAAATTACTGAATTGTTGCAATTAAATTTATAAGAGTCAACATACTATATGTCTTGTTCCGAATGACGATCACAACTCTCTATCCATGATCATGACTTAGATTCCACATGACGTAATTACTTTATAATATAGCTAAATATCTAATAATGCCTATCTTCGATTTATTTTAATACTAACGAATTACCCTCGCTTCGCTCAGGTGCATCATTAGGAAATAGTGTACTTAATTTTATGGAATACTAATTTTTTAAATATAGATATTTTTTTCATTATAAAGGACAGTAGTGACTGTGTAATAGAACGTATTGTAAAATTATTAACACTTTGAGTAAAATGGCCAACAGTAGAAAATTTCTCTAAAATTCAGGTAATTTTGCAATTAAATAGTAGTCATTATTCCAGTTTGTTTTTTTTTGATATAGAGAATAATAAAATCACTGAATACTGTATAAATATCAATTTTAATACTGCAAAAATTATCAAAACATGTATGAATGTTATTTCATAATTACAGTTAATAGGGAGCTAGAAACATTTGTACAGGCAACATAGTTTACTTAACTTCAAATTTCAAAAATCAAAACTTAAAAAATAATCAAACTTATTTAAGTACAATTTATATTGTTAAAATATTATTTAAAACAATGAAGGAACCTTTGTGGCAATTTTGCGAATCTTCACAACCTCTTCTCCAACGTTGTATCGAAGCTGCCAACCGAAATAGCAATATTAATAATAAGTGGTTAGAACATTTTGGTACTAAAACTATAACAAACATTGATAATGTAGAAAAAATGATTGTAGATGAGGAAACTGAAATGAATACTCCAGAGCCTAGTGTAAATCATGAAAAATTAAGCAATACAATGTCCCGTGAAAAGAATCTAAGAGAAGTTTCCAAAGATATCTTCACTCAAGAGCTGGCTGACTTGGATCCTATAAACAATTTTGACGACATTATGGAAAAATGTTTACAAAACACAGAGACATATACGTTTTTAGCAAAAAACCTACCATTTACAGCAATTGAAAAATTGTGCAATCATATATTTAATTTGGACAACATAGATTTAATTTTCCTTGAACATTTTTACAAGTTATTTTTGCTTGAACTTTTTAAAAGAGATAATACACATTTGTGTTTAGATTTGCTCATCAAAGCCAAGAAGTATATCAAGATATTTGATGAGTTTTTATACATATTTGTTAACGATCCTGAAATTCCAAAGCATTTGCTTCTTGAATATGTTTCTACATTAAACAGTACTGAAAAGTCTGAACTATTAAAAAATATATGCCAAACAATATCTCAAGATGTTTTCCTACACCATATGCATACAATTCACACTATGTATAAAGAAAGTGAAAATTCTGAAGAAGTTCAAAAATGTATATTTAAAAATTTAAAAAAAATATCTCCATTTTGCTTAAATGATAAAAATTTTGGCAAATTTCTTTTAAATTTCTTACAAATGCAAAAGAATTATCCAATAAATTGTTTAGTTTTAGATAAAATTGTAGAGTCACATAGCTCTGTATTTAAAAAGCCATGTGTAAATGCTTTAAATGAAATTAAGAGGTTACAAAATCTTTCACAAATGTAAAGAACTATAAAAAAATAACTGTTTTATGCAATACTATTTTTACTTGAATATAATAGTTAAGGGATTAATAGGAAGAGGGTATAGACGAATTATATAAAATAGCATGGAACCCAAACATGACAAATGTTAGAGAAGAATGAAGGTAACATACATATTACTGTGTCATTATAATTTTAATATAGTTTGACAATTTAATTTACTAACCAATCTCCTGCGTGTCTTCTCCATTCTACATGACATTAGCCAAGTAATCTGGCATGTTTTGAAGCTATTAACAAGAGAATTGAATTGTATAAACTTTGCTAACTCTACATAGCTGGGATAAGGTCACGAAAAAGCCAGTTTCTACCTGCGGCTCTGGTTGCACGGTTAACAATATACACAGAAGAGGTACCGTATGTCTCTCCCCATGATGCAATCTCTATGACAAATTTCATACAAATCAAATAAACTATATACATATGTAGCTTTAGGATTTACCTGAACAAAATGCCTCTTAACTTGCGAGATTGATTCAGCTGTTCAAGATACTGAAGGATATACATAAAGCCAAAATATATGAGTTGAATACAATGTCTACCTCCTTTTATTAATTGATCAAATACAAATCTGTTAGAGGTTTAAATATTGTACGTCTCCCGACCGATTCCGGCCACGGCGGCCAATCTCACTGAGACTAGCCAACTGTAGGACATATTATACACAATATAGTGCAGACACAAGTGCACTCTCTATTCCTGTCACTCTCATACTCCGGTGGGACGACACCACCAGTGAGAGTTAAGGCGCAGGGCCGACGCGACACGTGCTCTTCGAGGCATGGGGTTGAAACACCGCCAACTTCCCAACTCCGGGTTAACCTTGACCCGGGACTCGAACCCAGGACCTGTGGATGAGCCGTACATGCCAGCCACTACACCGAGGCAGTTAAGCTATATAAAGAAAAAAGAGGGAAAGGAAAACTTATTACTTATGTATATTATTCATTACTTATTTATATTTAATAATCTAATAATCTGTTAAAATAAGTAAATAGTGTTTGATATTATTTTATATAGGTTTTTTAATAAAAGCAAATATTTTAAAATACATATGTGATATTTTATGTGTTTTATTTAAACCATCCTCCAGTCTCACTGTAATATAAAAATTAATGACAATAATTTGGAAAAGTCATCATTAAAATTTGCTTACAATCTTTTCTAATATTATAAGGGCAGAGTTTGTTTGTTTGTTTGAACACGCTAATCTCAGGAACTACTAATCTGATATGAAAAATTCTTTTCGCATATATACCCCGTTTATTGAGGAAGGCCATAGGCTATATATCATTATGCTACTACACAAGGGAGCGGAGCAGTAATCATAAATGTCAACATATCGGGCAGACTTCCATACATTATTATAAAGGGAATGGGAAAAAAATGTTATTTTTTTGTACTTTGAACGCGGCGACTCCGCGGGTTCTTCTAGTCGGTGATATATGGAAAAAGTGCCATGAACGGGACAATTTTTTTTTCACGTAAGATTTTAAGCCATAAATGAGGTATAACAAAAAAGATTTTGTATATAACGTAAGGATAATTGTCTGTCTGTGATCGCGTCACGAGAAAACCACTGGACAGATTTTGATGAAATTTAGTATGATGATAGCTGGTTATCCGGGTAAACATGTAGGATACTTTTTACCCAGACAAATATCTAATTTCTGAGAAATCTATACTAACCGTAAAAACGGGGTGAGTCGCTAGTTCAAAATATAAACTAAAAACAATATCTTTTAGAAACATTGTACCATTAAAATCAAATTTAAAAAACCTTAAGATATGTCCCATTCATGACAGCGTGGCCTTGAATGGGACATGAAAGGGACATATTCCAAACAAATTCTTAGCAATTATTACACAAGCACTTATGTTACATAATCGTTTATTAATACACCTCCATATTTAATCATTATTTGGTATATTAATACCACATACAGGTTGTATGAGATCGACAATCAGTCATATTAAGTTTTGTTTAAACACAGATTACAAAAGAAATTAATAATCATAATAAATAAATATATTGGTACATTAAAACACAGCACCATCTAGTTCCATGGTAAACTACGAGACCTTTGTTATGGATACCAGATAGTTGATACACTACACAAATATAACTTTAGTTCGATACATAATATACACAAACACCCACAACTGGAATATAGACATTTGTGCTCATCACACAGCGGGTGTATAACCCGCGACCGCTGGCACAGCAAGTAGGGTCACTACAAACTGACCCAACAAGTCGTAAATTAAAGGTGCCTTTGATGCGAGATATTTCATTTACCCATTCTTGACAAGTTTACATTGAAACCAGTCTTCCTTATTGGTAGAAATTTTTTGTTTACAAACACAGTATATATGTCCTCCTTAGCATTTGTAGATTTCCTCAGTTCTTTTTCAGTATGTCAGAAAAATTGTCATTGGAATTTAAATTAGAAACTGTACGATCACTGTCACTGGTTGATTCCTCTTTGCTTTTCATCTTTTTTATTCTACAGTTCCTCTTTAGCAGCTGTCTTTTATGTTATTCCGTGTTTCTTTGCACTTTCTTAATCGGATAATAAGTTTTAAAAAATATCTTTAACATATAACAGGTCTGTGACCTCCTGTTTTTTATTTAGTAGGTTTATTAAGAATTCTGTCAGTAGTCTGTCTTATTCTGGAGTGGAAGTTAAAATTTCAGTTGAGACTCTTCTTTTAAATTGTTTCTGTCTGCGCTAAGGCACCATTAGTCCATTTTGTAACATATGGGATTTAAAATGAACCTTCGGAAATATGAAAACTGGCGGAGTACTACCGCCTGTAGCATTTGCAAATGCCAACATAGTGACCAAGGATCCACACTCTGTAGAACTAATCTGGCCGACGCTTTTAAGTTCTGCTTCAACGACTACTTTTGGTGCATTAAGGACTGTAGTACATCCTGTTTCATTGGTGTTCCAAACCATGTTTGGCGGTAATTTAAATTTTTTGTAAGACTCTTCTAAATTATTAAAAATTTTAGTCTCATTGACTTTATTAAAAGGTTTGCTTTGTGCTAAAGGCGTGTTTTCGGGCTTTTTAACATTCAATGCAACTTGTCGCTTCAAAAACTTCTTAAACCAATCAATTGTTGCTATTTTGTTAACATGCCACTTATCAGGAGCAATCCCTAATTTTAAAGCATATTGATAAGCTAACTCTCTGACTTGGACAGTTGTTAACTCTAAACATATTTCAGCTGATGTTTTCAAATACTCTGATAACTTATTTTCCTGTTCCACAGTAAAAATTCTACGGTTCCCGATATTGGGACAATATCGAAAGTCTTCTTCTGCTGCCTTAGCTTTTTTAACAAGTCTACCCAAGTGAGATTTACTAATATTGTATGCATTTGCTACAGACCGCAAGGGCATTTTGTTTTCTATTACTGTTTTCACGGCTTCCTCTATTTTTTTAGATTCAACTCGATCTCGTTTCTTAGATGGCATTTTAAACCTGGAACAAATTATTCATTTATTATGCATCCAGAAGCCTTAACCATATAAACCTTCACCATATAAACTTAAATATCTGAGTCTTGAAAGGGACGTCCATTGCAAGGCCTATTTGTTTGTCCCAAACAAGACCTTCATGTATTTTAAAAATAAACTCACAGCAAAATTATTTTTAAACAACTGTGTAATATTGTACTCACCTTTATGTAGGTAGCTAAACTATTGGTCAGTTAGCGGTACAATAACTGTGAAATATTATTTAAATAATCTAATAAACAAACTTTACACACAACGAATAAAATAATTAAAAAGTACGCTCCGCCATTTTGTTTGTTTTGAAACTCAAATGACATATACGTCAATATCGTTACTGAGTAAATGTTGTCAGAATGTAAAAAAACAAAAAAACTATTTAATTGGTACTAAACAATTTTGAAATGTAAAGCATGGATGACAAATAAAAAATTAAAGTTAATTTGTCCCATTCTGAACTTGTCCCTTTCATAGCACTTTCCCCCTACATGATACAAAAATCTATAGGTACACTAAAAATGAGGTACCTACTCTTTTCTTTTACTTACCATTATCAAATACATAAGACAATTGTTGCCTCGATTACTTCACAAGTATTTTATCACTAGAAAAATCAGTTTAAAATCTTTAACCGACTTCAAAAATATGATAATTATAAGTACCAAAAAGGCTTACATCTTCATTGATCTTTTAGCACCCTTATCATAATAATCCATATCTATACTAAGTGTTATTTTTTTTATTAGCTGTGTGTGCAATGAAGAACTTATATAATACTAGCGGTTCACCCTTCCCTCGCTCGGGTTGGTCCTAGGTACGTTTTAACGGTTAGTATGGTATAGATCTGATAGACTATATGTACGAGTATAATACTCGTATAATATATCATATATGAGCCTATAACCTTCCTCAATAAACGGGCTATCTAATGCAAAGGAGAATTTTTCAAATCGGATTAGTACCTAGTTCCTGAAATTAGCGCGTTCAAACCAATAAACAAACTCTGCCTCTTTATAATATTAGTATAGTATTGGTTTTTGATTATAAGTTAGTTTTTTAGATCATAAAATATGTGAAACTTTGTGAGGACGGATGTTTGTTAATCTTTCATGCCAGAACCGCTGAACGGATCTGGATGAAATTTGGCACAGAGACAGATTATAGTCTGAAATAGCACATACTTTACTTTTCATCCCGGAAAATGTACAGCTCCCGTGGGATAGTTTTTTTTGTCTAGGAACGAACCCGACGCGAAGCGAGGGTGTCGCTACTCGCTAGTATTATAAATGCGAAAGTTACGGTACGGCTAGACAGATTTAGATGAAATTTAGTACACAGATAGACTATGAGTTTGAGAAACATATAGGCTACTGTTAGTAAAAAAAATGCCAAAAGTTGGCGTGGCGACCTACATTTATAATATTAGTCTCGGGCAGCCATCAGATGAATCGAGCTTTGAAAGTGTTAATAGTTCCTTAGATTTACGCGAATATTTAACATTTTAAATAAAACTATTTTTTAGGATTTTGTTGGTCTAACATATAAGAAGCATGCAAAGACGATTACTGTAAAGCATTCCAAACGTCGGAAACTAAAAATCTAAATAAATCCGCAACAAAATCCGAAAAGATAGGATTATTTAGCAAGTAGTTTTGATAGGCAGGTATAAATAAAAAAAAATTACTTCCAAACTGCACACATTTATTCAGTTGAAAAATTGGTGAAATTTACAACAAAATGGAACAACGTATCAATCAACAGACTATATATTGCAAATATTAAAAAAATGTAAAAAAAGACAAAATTAGAATTGAGCCTGCAATATTCTTATTTTTTTTATTATAGAGTAATGTAATACTAAAAAAAAATATTACAAAAATGTCATAATAACTTATTTATTTAATATTTGCAATTTACAGTAAAAATGTTTCTAAGAATGAACACTTGCGTGAAATCACAGATTTAATAATTTACAGTGTGACGACCATATTTTTTACAATATGCAGACACAAAAAAAAAAAAATTAAACAACGCTAAAACAGATTAAAGAAAAAAATGACATTTAGAAAAATGCTATAAATTATTATTAATTGGTCAAAATAAAAAATAAATGACTTAAAACGCCTTACTAAATAAACGGTAAAAAAGTAAAAGTAAAGACAATCAGTATAACACTTACTGGAAAGTAGTCGCCACACAAGTTTTTTACATTTCTAACAGTAATTTTAGCCTATTACATAAAAAATCACAGAGGTTTATGACATAACTAGATCTGATGTAAATTAAGCGTATCTGGTGTGCTTTTTACATTTTTTTTAATATCTAATATCTAAGTATTTTTTTAAGTTAAACTATAAGGGAGAAAGAAGGGCACAGGCATAACTTAAATATGCCTGCAAATTGCAATTACGTTTTGTTAAAATTTAGAAAAAAATCCATTTGCAAAACCAAATCAATTTTAAATTTAGTTCATCAATTATTAAATTAGATATGTAATTAATTTTTTAGACGATCTTACGATTAAAAAAAGTGTTTTCAATCTATTTAGTTTAAAAAATCATTACCAACACAATTTAAAAAATAAACACTAAACTAAAAGAAACACCCAATTACTGAGATTGTAAAACCAGTTCTTTAAAAATGAAAAACTTAATCTATACTTAAATTAATTAAGTGTAGTTATCGCATAAGCGTGTAATAATCGCTAACTTCTTAATTGTAATAGGCGGTTGGATGATGGCTTTTCTTGAATTTTCGTCTAATGAACACATTTAATGGAAAATTTTATCCAAATCAGTCTTTTGGAGGATTATTATTATCTATTTAAGTATTTGAGATCAGATAGTGCTTTACAAATTGTTACTTATGCTACTACAGATTACAAAGAAGTGTAAAAGTTATAAAAAAGTGTATAAAGCTTATGTTTTATCTACATTTATGTTTTTTTTAACATTTTTTCATAGTTTATAGAATACTTATGCCTAAGAGTATGTATAACCACAAACTGCTTAATCTTTTAAAAACACCCTGTTAATTTTTTGGATTTATTTTTGAACACCAGTATCATATAATAGGAACATATTTTTTTGATTTGGTAGGAGATTCATAAATCTTCTAGACATATATGTCTTTATTGAAAAAAATGACATTACTGTATCGATTTTGATTGTGTTACATTGTATACATTAAACTAAATAATTAAGCATACAATCTAATTTCTAAACCTTAGAGTAATTATAAATGTTTGATAAATGATTGTAGCAAGGCCTCACCCTCATCAACTGTTTAAAAACCATATTTTTTGTGCGTTTATATATTGTCTGCATTAAGTCAAAGAAAAATTATATTTCTTTTTAAAAACATATTAAGGTTTATTAAAAAAATACTTTCTTGTCTAAATTAGAACGAGATTTTTCTTAACATGCAATTCTTAAGGTTACCACAGACTAATATTTTAAAGTAGTACTAATAATAATTAAGAGTTAAAATTACATTAAATGTTTGAAAAATGAACACACATTTTCGTATAACAGTACAAAGTCTTCCAGCACCTTGAATTTTTTAAACAGTGATAAAATGAACGAAAAATTAATTGAATCATACATATAGTAAAAAATTTTTTTTTAAAAGATGAGCACTATGAAATTTGTGTAAAAATGGATGTCCTTAAAAATCAATTTAATATTCTACAGAAAAATAATAATAGAAGCTTCAAAACACAATCAAACATTGATTTAAATTTAAAAATTCATCAATGCATTTCCTAGAAAAAAATACCTTTTGTTCTAGTCATTGCCTAAAATGAATGTAGTTTGGAAAAAAAATAACAATCATTTTTCAGTCAATAGACAATTAGTGACAGATAAGAAAAGATGGTGTCAAGCTTATATTAAAGGAAAAAATAATTTAAATTTTTATTGACTAATATAATTAATGTTATTTTGTTGCAAACATGCAAAAAATACAGTATAAGAAATTAAAAACAGAAAGTTTGACAAATAGAAATCATTTTAGAGAAAAAAAATTGGAAAAAATTAGTTCAATTAACTTAGTAGTCATAGTGGAAATTGTAAAAATATTTCTTGCATATAAGAGATGAATACGATTAAAAAAATACTACAAATTAAAAAAGAATATCCCACTAACCAATTATATCTGCGAGTTTTTCCCTTCTATTTATATGTTCTGGTTCCGCACAATGTGCCATCAAAACAGATTCCCCGACGATTAAATTTTCAAAGCACAGAGAACAAGCATACACTGCGTCACCAAAACAAACGATTTTATTATCATCTCTATACATTTTCATAGAGTTTAACACTGTACTTGGCTGGATCTCTTTACCAGTTGACATACATTTTTTAATATATGCAGTTTTGTAAAGAAAATGTATTTTTTCACAGTGAGTTTGACTTAAAATATGTCTTAGAAGCCCATTTTCTTCATTTTGGGTATCTTTGCATGAGGGACAATGGAATATTATTGTATTTTTAGATTCTATTTCTTCTGAATCGCATTTTAATTGTATACTATGTACTTGGACATAGAATGTTATTCTTTCTATGGCAGCCTTTTGAAGTAATGTATTGTACAGGCTCGTATCTTGAAAGCTGTTATAACTCACAATCTGGTCTAATGATTCAGAATATGCTGTTAAAGTTGAAGAATCCAAACTAAAGTTACCAATCGAAGATGTGATAGATGTGGAACAATCTGTTTTTGAAGTTAATCCAGAATCTGTTTGAGACGACGGAGAACTTGGCTCGTGACATTTACACACACATTTATTATCTATGTTCTCGTTGTAAAAGTTAATAGAATCCATATTGTCTGCTGAAAATAAATTAATCATGGCTTCTCGGAGATCAGGGAAATCAAAGTGTTTCATTTTCTTCTTATGACTAGCACTCTGTTGTTTAGACGTTTTTGTTTTTTGGAAATTAAAGGTTATGCTTTTTGTTACTTTATTCTCCTTGTAATTCTGTAAATTAATTTTTACAAAGTCATCTATACAATGTTTCATAGATAACAGTTGTTTTTTTATTTTAAACTTGGTTTGGTCATCATCCTTTTCCATTACAATATTCCATGAATTGGCTGGGCTCGAACTTCTTTCACTTGAATTAAAGCTATTCACATATTTCACTTGACCTAGACATTTTGGTAAATTAGAAATATCAGTACCAGGAAGAGCAGTAACTATAGATTTTGAGCGGAAAACTTTAGATACTTCAATGTGAAATTGAAATTCGTGTAGTAGTTTTTTTAAAAAGCATTCCATTTTCTCCAATTTCATTTGATAATTGAGCAATAATTGCATTCGTTCCTCTTCATTTTTATCTAGTTCTACATCAGCAAAAGATTCAAGGCTCGCTGATGGTACTAATTGGTTTTCATCACTAGACTGACTTTCTGTTTCGGTTACTTTTCTACACATTTTGATAGATTTGTGTGACGGCAATGATATGTTGGAGTCAGAGTGGTCAGATAACGAATCAATATCTACATCTTCTTCTTCAAAAGGTGATGAAGGATGATCATCAGAGATTGCATCAAACAAGTCGAAGGATTTATTAAAATCAAAACCTCGGAACCTTTCGCTGAATACATCAGAACTTTTGCATTCTAACAAAACATGTTTTGGTGTATTTTCTATATTGCTTAAGCTGTCTTCACTTAACTGATTCATTGACTGACTCGCTTTTCTGATGTCTAATTTAAGTTTTCTGCATTTACGGCGTTTCTCTCGGACAGGAGCATCAACACTTAGAGTTAGTAAGTCTGTGTCAGACAAAGAACCCTTTTTGGCAGCAAAATTTTTCACAGATTCAGGTAATTTTAGACTTGTGCACTGTCGATATGTTGAGTCTGGTTCTGTCGACTCGAAATTTATAATAATTGGTTCATCACCCACGTAAGTGTGTCGACGTTTCTTCAAATTAGGATCTGATATGCTACTCTCAGGGCTATCCTCAGATTTTTTGAAATAAGTAATATTGGATAGCATTTTCCTCAATGAAAACGCCATTTTCAATATTTAATTTCACATACGAGTTACTTTATCACACTGAACTATATGGAATGCTGTAAATAATAAAAAAAATTTGAAACAAAGACTTCACGTAACATAAATTATAAATATCCAAAGTAATTAGTTAAAGTGTACCTGTAATTTAACTTGTCGGTCGATTTTTTAAGTATTATTTCATTTTCACGGAGTTTTTATATAAAATTAAGCGAAAATACCTTCAACTTAGTTTTGTAATTGATTTTTTTGTCTTCTTTCTTTGTCACTTTGTATTTGACAATCAGCAAAACATCTGAGGTAACCCGAATAAGTTGAAAAGTATTAATCATGGCGGATTATTGAAGGAAAATCAATACTTTTTAAACGTCAAATGACCAAGCTTATAACTTTTTAATTTGGTAGTATAATATAAGTGTATATTTTAATGGTGTTGCCAGGCAATATTTTTAAAGTTTCCAAATAAACACGAAGTTCGTATGTATGTGTTTTTGTTACGCCTTCACATTGTAACGGCTGGACGGTTTGAATGAAATTTAGTATACAGATAGAGTATATGGAGCAAAGCGCATTACTCTGTTCAAGAATTCCTATTGATGTGTGGAATTGAGAAATATTGACTCGCATGTGAGCTATCTATATTGTTTTGTAATAAAATAAATGTGACGTCGATATTTAAGAGTAACTATCTCATTTCTTTTGGGCTGTTCTCAGCAGAACTTATATAGGAATAAACTTTTAACACATGCTTTTTCTTTTACTAATAACCTTGTTATTTAAATAAATCTAGATTTAAAAAAATCCTTAATTAAATAACTTTAAACAAAGCATAGAAACCATAATTTAAATAAAACAATCTCCAAACGTCACATGTATATTTAAAAATACACTTAAATAATAATAAATCACAATCAAAAATCACATCATGTGTACAAATTAGGATGTTTTTCTATAACGGATTTTACTTCTGGCGGAAGCGTCATCATTTTGCTGGAGATGAAGAACTTTAAAGTGTCTCTGAGAGCTGTTGGGAAGTATGGCTGGTCTATTTCCTGCGCAAGCGCTGTATAACAGGAAGAAATTCGCCAGCGAATTTTGTAATCTTTGTCTTCAGACTGTAAAAAATAAAAATTATTTAAGTTAAAATTACAAAAGGCAGTGGTAGCCCAGTGGTAACGCGCTCGCTTGGGAAACCGAGTGATGCGGGTTCAAATCCCGGGTCTCGCACCTCTGATATTTTCATGTGCGAATCATTTCCAGCATGATTACCACTTGTCTTAACGTGAACACGAAAACGTGAGGAAACCTGTATGTCTGAGGGAACTTAGCAAGTTTTCGAAAGACATGCTCAGTCCGCCAACCTGCCTTGGCCAGCGTGGTGGACTATGGTCTGATCCCTCTCGTATTGATGGGAAGCCCGTGCCCAGCAATGGGACGTTAAAAAGGGCTGAATACACTTAAGTGCGAGTTGGATTTGTATAATCTATAGAGTATGGGAATATAATTATTTGTAGGTTTAGCATTGATATACAAAAACTCAAGTTACACAATTATTAGCGTCTCAAAAGTATCCTCAAATAGAAGTCCATAATTTGAAATTGAATGGCCGCCCACTTACCTTAATAAGCCTGAGCGCGCGTAACAAGGCATTAGCGAGCGGCCATTGCAGCGGCACCCGCGCAGCCCCCCGCCACAGCCCCCGCGCTTGAGCCTCCGCCCCCGGCCCCAGCCCCGACACGCAGCACAGGGCTTCCGCGCGGACCGTGTGCCGCTCAGGCTCTTGGATAGACTGGAGGGACACAGAAACCACTTAGGAACCAGTCATGACCTCTGATCGGCCAGTGCAAGTTCCGTCAAAATCGGTCCAGCCGTTTCGGAGATTAGCCAGAACGAATAGACAGACAGGCAAAAGTTTTAAAAATGTGATTTCATATGCATTTAGTAAAAAGCTGTTATTTTGACATTACACACAGACACTTTAATTTTTGGCAAAAACAAAAATAGCAACAGTACAAAAAAAGATAATGATTGCAGAAGTTAATAAACTGTGTCACAATTATTACAAACTCCATCTGTAAAAATGGCCACTGGGTTCCTTTTTATATAATATATAACTCCTTCACGCTGAAACTGGACCAATTTGTATGAAATTTGAAGTACACAGATAGACTATGAACAGGAGTAACATATAGGCAACTGTTCTATTTAGGGACGCACCCGAGCGAAGTAAGAGTATGTCGATAGTTTTTTTAAATAAAAAAAATAAGGGTGCGTATAACCTTTACGCGCGGTTGAAGTAAAATTTCTGTGGCAAATATCGCAATTAAATTAAAAAAAATCAATATATATAAATAAGGCATATTACAATCATATATTTATAGAATATCATATACGGAAAGAATATAATATTATATATTTGTCAGACAATAACAATGGTTACCATGGCAACATATTCTATCTCGTTCTCTCGCCGGCTTATTCCTATATATTTATGTGTTTGTCTCTTGTGTCGCATTTCCGTATCATCGAGTTTCAAATCACAACGATTCTAAAGAAGTTTCACTTCAAAAAATAATAATATACCTGTAAATGTGCCTCAATTAACTCAGCCACATTGTTTCCGAGCTTGGCCAAGTTCTCCAGAGTCGGGTCTTTTAGGAATCTGACAACGTCTGTTTGTGCCTCTTCTACCTCTGAAACATCACAATGAAGTTTTATATATATGTACATTTTAAAACTAATTTTGGAACGAACTTCTTTATCGCACAGCATATTTAGCGAATGAAAGCTTAGCAATGCTATTCTAATAAATCAACCAATATCAACCCATCAATCGTCCGGTTCATAAATCTATCATCAATCTATCAACCGACCGATTCAACACACTCAACTCACCCGTCCTATCCAAATCGATCCCCTTCGACATATCCAGCGATGAATCAAAGTGTTGAGCGTCCTCCGTTGCACTGTCTTCGGACTTATCATCTTCGGACTTATCATCATCAGACTCACCTTCAGATCCTGACACATCTGGAATTGTATTAAAATATATACTTTAATACATTTGCGTATCAATACTAATATTATAAAGAGGCATAGTTTGTTTGAACGCGCTAATCTCAGGAACTAATACGATTTGAAACATTATTATAAAGTTATATATGTGTAGTGTATCAACTATCCGGTATCCATAACACAGGCCTCGTAGCTTACCATGGAACTAGATGTTGCTGTGTGTTAATGGACCAACATATGTATTATTTATTTAGAACAAATGATTCTTATATCCTTTTTTTATTTTCAACCAGCTTTTGGTTTTAAAATGAAAAAAAATATCCACTATGACAACTACTTACACTCATCTTCACTCCCCTCGCCGTCACTCAGCTCTGCGGACGGACCCAACTTAGTTTTCATCGTCTCTTTGTTTGCTGCACCTCCTAAACTATTACCTGGAAACATACATACATATTATAATTCTTTACATACATATGTATAAATAAATAAAATTGAAGTGTCTGTGTGTAATATCAAAATAACAGGTTTTTACTAAACGCACATGAAATTACATATTATATACCCAAGTTACTTATAAGAAAAAAAAAAACAATTTGTATCTGTCTGTGTGTTTGTTCTGGCTAATCTCCAAAACGGCTGGATACATTATGTCGAGATTTTAGTAGTCGAGTAAATTAGGCAATTTCTATTTTTAAAAAACATAAAATGATCTTTAAGAGTGGATGTTTACAAGTAATTGAAGTGATATAATGTTAGTGTAAATATTTTCAGAAAAATAAAACGGGTGTGACTGGATGCCCTCTAGTCCTCATCCCACGGATATTTGCATGTTTTTGTTTTCTTTTTTTATTTTGGGAAATGGATTTACGCATTACGTAAATTCGCATGTGGTCCAATCACCCAAAAAATAAACGGGTGATGTACACTAAGCGTTATCCTATGGGCATTTGTATGATATCCAATCAGTCCAAAAAAAAAAAACGAAAAAAGCCGAGTTGATGATGTTAGGCCGCCTAAACCCCTTGGCACTTGCATGTGGTCCAATCACCCAAAAAAAAAAAAACAAAAAAATGTCAAAATAAACGGTTTGAAATCCACTAGGCCTTATCCCATGGGCATTTGCAAATTGCATGAGATCCAATATTCTTAAAAAAAACCCGGGTCGATGTTTCTAGGCTTCATCCCATGGGCACGTGACAAAATAAAAAAAAACATAAAAAAAAACACCTCACCGGCGAGCACAACGCGCGTGAGCCTCTCGGCGGCGCCGGGCGCGGCGGCGAGCGCGTCCACAAACGCCATGCACGCCTCGCGCCCTATCTCGTTGTGGCTTACGTCCACTGACTGGGAAATTGACATATTAGTATCAAATCACACACAAACTAAAATGTAATAACACTCAGACTAAAATACAATCACACTCGGACAATAATTCATAAGTGGGACACACTTTTTAGATTGTTTTATTATTTCTTTGCCTGTGACAGTTGTCTAAGCGATATGTAACAATTAATATGAATCGTGACTATAACTTTTATGTCTACTTAAATATCAACAAATACAATCACACTTAGACTAAAAAAATTCTATATCCACCAAAAAAATGTATGGTCAAACATGTTTATGCTACTATTCTCGATTTTGCCATATGTTTACTTTATTAATTATATATATATATATATATATATATATATATATATATATATATATATATATATATATATATGTAAATTAAAATACAATTTTTGAGAATAAAATTTGGATAAATGAATATGATAAGCATAAACAGCAAAGAATGTTTGTTTGTTTGTTTTTGACTTTGATATTTATTTTAGCGAACTCAATCTATACATTTTTTAGTATGAGCTAAATAAGTACCTCTAATAAAACTGAGTTGTCTTTAAGTCCCTTGGCCAAGGCGAGGGCGCCTGAGCTTTTGAGGAGGCAATCACCAAAATTGATTGCTTTTAGATTTTTTAATCTGTAATAAGAAGAAAAAAAACTTCAATCATTTCAATCGACATTTCCATTAATATCAGAGACGAAACGGATATCTGGTAACTATCCGGTATCCGGACTGTCCTGCCTTATTTTGTTATCCGACCATCCGTATATCCAGATACCGGATAGTAACGCAATATTCGGCCGGATATCAAATACAATTTCTCATAAAAAAAAATGCTTTTTTTCTATCAGCTCTAACGCTGACATTGTGACATAGCGCCATCTCGTAAATGGTGGTACCAACCGTCATTTTTTCCAACGCTTTGCTCATGCACTTCCCTAGGTACGTTTTAATTTTTTTGAGCGGGAACCTAATCCTTTTTCTAAAATAAAAGTAGCACAAGTTACTTCTTATAACATGAGCTATCTGCTAGTGAAAGATTTGTGTTGAGTGTAAAATTGTGTTTTTTTTTTATATGTAAATACCATATAATATATGCTTTAATATAAGCTTGCTTTGCTTTTAATATAAGCTTTTTACCAAAGGCATGTAGATATCATATTATGATATCTACATGCCTTTGGTAAAAAGCTGTTATTTTGATAATACACACAGACACTTCAATATTACTTATCTGTATTATACAATACCAACCTAGGCAAGGCCCCAGCTATCGCCACAGCTCCTTTGGGCCCTACAGTATTGTCGTTGAGATTGAGCCGGGCCAGACGTGGGTTGTGTTTGAAGGCTTCGGACAAAGCGGATATACCCTCATGATATATACCGTTTTGGGGCATTGCTATCTCTTCTAACGTTCCCATTGACTGGAAATAAAAAAAATTATCTATACTAATATTATAAAGAGGAAAGATTTTTCGTTTCTTTGTACTAAATAAGCTCCGAAACTACTGAACCAATTTAGATGAAATTTGGTAAGAAGATAGTTTGAAAGCCTGGGAATTGCATAGGATAGTTTTTATCCCGGAAATCCATTAAGGGGTTAAAATGGGGGTGAAATTTTGTATGGGGAATCATAAAAATATTCACTATTTGTATGGGAAACCCGAGCGAAGCGAGGGTGAGTCGTTAGTAAGTAGTATATAATAAACATTTTGTGTGGATTTCTTAGAGATAAGATATTTTACCGCAGTAAAAAGTATCCTATATGATGACCCGGGTACCCAGCTATCATCATACTAAATTTCATAAAAATCTGTCCAGTGGTTTTATCGTAATGCATTCCCAGAAAGACAAAAATTCTAAAAACTATAGATTCAGCCTCTGTATGGATGTAATATAATAATAATAATTATTTCAATAAGAATTTACAAAAAATATTTAATCTACAGATTCGACTCAGAATTTTATTATATGTATTATGTATAGACTAGTTAGATAAAAATCGGTCAAGTGCGAGTCTGACTCGCATGAGGGTTCCATAGCATGAAGCATTAAAATAAGGTTTTTGGTGAAAAAAAAAAAGAAACAATATACCTGAAAAACAGCAGCTAATGCTCTGGCACCATTATTTTCCAACCTATTCCTGCCCGCAATGAAGATACGGAGCTTCCGAGGGTTGGCTGAGAGGGCTTTAGCTAGCAGTCTGCCTCCGGTTATGCCCAGACCATTGTTATTTAAATAAAGTTCCTGAAAAAATATAATCAATGCTATTATTACTTTTAGTTATATAGGCAGTGGTAGCCCAGTGGTAACGCATTCGCTTAGATAACTGAGTGCAGCGGGTTCAAATCCCGGGTAACCTCTGATATTTTCATATGCGAATCATTTCCAAGTTATCACCACTTGTCATAAGATGTAAAGAAACATCGTAAAGAAACCTGCATGTCTGAGAGAACCTAGCTAAGTTATCGAAAGACATGTGAAGTCCGCCTTGCACTTGGCCAGCACAACCCTAGACCGATTAAGACGACACTTGATATATAGATAAGACTACTGGCCTAGTGCTACCACACATAGACTTATAAGCGACTAAACTAGATGGCGTTACTATAATTTTATGACGCGTCAATGATAGGACCTTCCGCTGTGTGCCTTTGGCTAATACTGGCTTATACATAAGCTCACTAGTGGCAGACAGCGAGCCAGTGCATTGTACATGTTGCAGCTCGTCAGAGAGAGGCCTGTGGAGAGTGCAAGCAGACTGCTTATTACATACACTCCTCAACACTTATGTTCGCCTGGTACTTTTGTCATGAGTACTTGGGGACACAATGAACCTCAAGAGATATCCATTATATATATGTAGGACTCCGTCATAAGAGTGCATATGAACTCATGCTCACCTGGTACTTTTGTCACGAGTAATAGGGCTCTAACAATCTAGCTACAAAGATTTATGAAAATAAATACTATATAGCTATATATAAATACCTGTAATTCTGAACAAACATCACTTTGTAGTAACTTGGCGAGCCCCTCTACTCCAATGGGACCAAAGGCATTATCACTCAAATCCAATAGTGAAAGACGAGCCCCTGCTTCTATCATACCATCTCCTAAAGCACTCTGAAAAGAAAGATTAAGTTTATAAATATAAAATAATATTATTGTATAAATAGAATGATGTGAGTTTAAACAGGGAGTGATACTTAGTATGAGAAAAACAGTTCACATAAATTATTAATGGATGTTCCTAAGTACAGATTAACATAAATTCTTACTAATGCTGGCGGAATCTCGGTCTTCATTCTTCCAGTGAACATGTCCGAGAACCTGGCTGTCTTTAGTTCTGGATGATTTGACAGTGCTTTAGCAATAGCTTGTGCGGCTGCAACACCTAATGTGTTGCCTGTGAGTGTAAGGAATTGGAGATCTGGACAGGCGTTAATAGCGTCGATGATTGGTTGAGCTGGAATATAATAATAAAGATGAATATATAAAAAAAAATTTTATGCATAATAAAAATTTATTTTATTATGCATAATAATTTTATTACGTTATTTAAATATATAAAGCAATAGGATAAATAACCCTATTTACTGTATTTAACGTCATAGAAACAGAAGCCAAAATTAAGTTTTGTAAAAACAAATAACCCGAAGAGGTTATGTATTAAATGCAGCACAATTACTCAAATCATGAATAACTTATTGTTACTTTTAAAACTACGCATAGAATAACATTTTTATGATAAATAATATGTAAAATTCGTGATATATTTAAAGAAAATAACATACCATCTTTTTCGGTGTCCAATTTTAACGATTTTCCAGAAAAATCCACTCCACTCGAAGTTCTATTTGGTTCGTTTAATGCTGAACTTATTGCGTTTAAATCGAACGACATGTTTGATGCAATTATTTACTTCAAAACTGTTATTACCACGGAAACAACAACATCAACGGACTTTTTATTCAATTTTCGGCTTCGCTTTTTTGTTTGTAAGAAACTGTCAAACTCAAAACGAAATGTCAAAGTTAGATTTCATAAATTTAAAGCTCTAAATTCTAAAATATTAAGGCAATTTTTTTTTTATTATTGCATATTCATACACGTAGAAAAATGCAATTAGTACTAGAAGCTAAAATTTTAACTGTTTTCAATATGTACTGTCTAAAAAATATCATAAATTTTAATATTTTGATAAGTTACTAGCCGACCCGAGATACAATCCATTTACACATATTGTAATATTTGAGCTCATTTAAAAATCTAATTCAAAAAGAAATCACATTCAGTTTTTCCAGAATTTCCCAATTTTCTTTTCAAGTTTTTTTCCCCAAATATATAATTCAATATTATGAATATCGATATAGCTATTAGCAGGGCAGCTGATAAGTGATAGACTATATATTAGTGTATACAAACATTTTATCCTTGCCGCAAGATGTACATACTCGTCTTAGATTATTTATATGTCTAATAATCACAGATACTCGTATGTATGTCTCCAACTGCATAATACTATATTCCATCGTGAACTTCTTTTCATCTTTTTAGTTAGCTTTTATGCAGTCGGGATTTTTATTTTTATAGTATATTTATTTTTAATAAAAAGTATTTTTTTAGTTTTTTTACAGATGGCGTTAAACTATACATATAATAAAATTGTAACTAAGCCGAATCTGTACATTCAATATTTTTTAGTAAATCTTATTGAAATAGACTTTATTATAGATACAGAGGCCGAATCTATAGTTTTTAATGTTATCGTTAGTGTGTACACTCTATTATATAGTTTCTAAGCGCAACATTGTACCGTCAGTTGCTGAGTTGACACTTGACAGTTGACTGTTGGTGGTTTGGGATGACAGTGACCGTTCGGCTCTCTAACACTTGTTCTTTCTAAATTACGACTATAAATTAAACTTCTGTTTGTGACTACGTGACTTTTTCACTACCGACCATGGCGGGTAAGTAATTAATCTTTTCTTGACATAAACTAAATAGTTATTTATAACTTGATAACGAGATTTGCGATTAGTTATTGGTTATGTAGTTCACTGTTTATGCGATATTTCTTACCTTTGATCTTATTATACATATGTTAATTAAGTTTTAATAAAAAATGTTATATCAAGGTTATTTTTATTGTTAATTAACTTAAGAAAGTTTTTTTTCTAAGTTTAACTTTTATTCGTTGCTGTTTATAAGTTTACAACTAACTTGAAAAATGTTATACATTAATTCATGTAGTTATACTAGTATATCACCCACGCTCCGCTCGGGTATAGATTTCGGGCTCGTATAGATTTCTCAGAGATGAAATAATTTCCCGCAGTTAAAAGTATCCTATATTTTGACCCAGTTAACCAACTATCACCATACAAAATTTCATCAAAATCCCTTTAGTGGTTTTTCTGTGATGTGGTAACAGTCAGACAAACAAAAATTCTAAAGACTATAGATTCAGCCTCTGTATCTATAATAATGTCTATTTCAATAAGATTTAAAAAAATATATTTAATGTACAGATTTGGCTAAGTTACAATTTTATTATATGTATAGATTTTTGGCCTATTTAAAATATACATATTAAATATATATCACATAAAATACACAAAATAAACAAAGAAATATAATATATATTAAATATATAATTTAATTTTATGAATATGTAATTAATATCCTTATGCCATACAAGGTAAGTAATACTTTATATATAAAAATGTGATTGTTAGTTTATCGTCTTTTGGTCTTATACTTATATTATTCTATATTTAAATGATTAAGAGAAACAAAAAAATATGTTCACAGTTGGTAACTTGCGGACAATTTGTGTGATAAAAACAACACAATAATTTTAACAGTAGGTGGCTGCGATTTAGAATTGGGGACTTGGCCCCTAGCGGAGTGGGTGGTATTTCTGGATAAGGGACGTGATAGGAAGTCGAAATGTTAAATAAAAATTGTCCGCGAACGTATGAGTAAAAATTTATTGAGACTTAAAGTTACAACATTTCCATACATTATTTTGACATTACTACCATTTAGACACTTGAGTCAAAACGTCACTTTCAATTGTCAAAATGATCTCCAGATGATTGTCTTTATTTGTACTTTGCGTGAAATTCGAATTTTCTAGTTTTCTAGTCATTTATGGCACTCGCCGGCCGCTACCGCGGCACGCTCGCTTCGCTCGCTCGGCTCGTGCGTTGTGGCAACTGTTCTAACCTAACCTAACCAAGATATGAGGAATAATAAATAAATAATCTTAAATGTTCTAACCTAACCTAACCCAGATATGAGGAATAATAAATAAATAATCTTAAATGTTCTAACCTTTTTTTTTTTTTTTTTTTTTAACGTTGGGAAATGCATTTACGCACGACGTGTGGGACTCACCAGCGTAATACAGCCAGTACTACCCACTAAAACCCAACAGAACCTTCCCCCGTCTTAATGGGGCGTCGCAGGATCGCTTACGCATTCAACTACGACGCCCCGACGGCAGGTCTGCCAAAGCAGACCACCACAACCATGGGGTTGCTCCACAGTCCACTCTGCTATCAGAGAAGTACCAGGAACAACCCGCATGGTACACCGCCCCCCGAAGAGGGCCACCTCCCACCGCCCACCGAAGTGGGCAACCTCCCTGTGCGTTTCTTAGCTTCGCTACTACTACTGAGCCCCCCCACCACGACAAGGTGAACGCACGTTGGGGGGGTAAATGTTCTAACCTAACCTAACCCAGATATGACGAATAATAAATAAATAATCTTAAATGTTCTAACCTAACCTAACCCAGATATGACGAATAATAAATATATGATCTTAAATGTTCTAACCTAACCTAACCCAGATATGACGAATAATAAATAAATAATTAAAAATATTCACAGATAAAAAAAATGATTTTCTTTACTAAATGTACAATTGTAAAACAATATATTTTACATAAATCAGATAAAAAATCATAAATGTATTTATGAAATGAAAATAATATTTTTCTTTTTATTTATTTATTTATTAATATTAATATTTTACCAACAGAAAAAGCAAAAATAATCAAATATAATCTGTTGTCATTTAAGCGGTAATATAAAACAAAGTGTCAGTTTTGCTTTTGTCAAAATGTAAGATCATTTTGTTTGTGTTGTGAAATTATTAAAATATTAAATACAATAAAGCATTAATTGTTGTGAAAATGTGTAATGTACATAAAAAAGGATGCGTACTATTCGTTAAAGGTATGTTTATCTGTTGTAATCACTTATTTAGGTAAAGAAATGTATAGAAATGTGTTAGATATGTTATAACTTTAAGTCTCAATAACTTTTTACTCGTACGTTTCCTCCAAATATTTTTAATATATTTTGACTCTCTGTCACCTCCCCTATCTAAAAATACCACCCACTCCGAATGGTGGTAAAGAAATATATGAAAATGTATGGAAATGTTGTAACTTTAAGTCTCAATAACTTTTTACTCATACGTTCGCGGACAATTTTTATTTAACATTTCGACTCCCTATCACGTCCCTTATCCAGAAATACCACCCACTCCGCTAGGGGCCAAGTCCCCAATTCTGAATTTGTGCCCAGTAGGTTCCACATTAAACGGCGAAAACATTAAAAAACAAATTTTAATGTATTTTTTCTAAACATATTATAACAACTTAACTAGGTTTTGCCCACAACTGCATGGCAATAAATCACCATAAAAATTTATAAAATCTGGCTAGTAGTTCTTAAGATTAGAGCAAACAAATGAACAAAAAAAAACAATGAAATAAACTTCATAATAATAGTGAAGATTAAATGGATTTTTAAATGCACTAAGTCACATTCAGTCATGTCATAAGGTTTTACATAATAAAATATAAACAAATATATAGTTTAGATTTTTCTTTTTATCATCTCTCATATCTACTTTTTGTGTAAATCACTGTTGAGTTAACATATCATTCTGCTGTAAAAGAACTTGTGACATGTAATTCAATTCTATTTTCTTGTTATGGCTTCAATGCTTGCCAGTTGAGTACCGATTACTTCACCAATATCACATAGAATGGAGAAGACATGGAGGAGATTGGTCGGTAAAATAATTTTATTTATTTAACTACATTAAATAATCAAAAGAAATTTCAATTGTGAGGCATAGCCTTGAAAATGGATGTAATTTGAAACATTACAAATGAAATAATTATTCAAATTAAGTACAAAGGTCACATAGTACAATCGTATAGTAAAAAATAGTAAACTTATTATTCATTCATAAGTAGAATTCAGAAGTTAAATTGGGTTAAAGCTAGTATTGCCAGATTTATTGTTATACTATCAAAACCTACGGTTACGCCCGTGGTCAATGTACAAAAAAAATTCTGGCTTTATGTTATACAGCTATGTCTAATATATAAAATTCTCATGTCACAGTGTTTGTAACAAATTACAAAACTCCTACAAAACGGCTTGACCGATTCTTATGAAATTTTATGTGTATATTCAGTAGGTCTGAGATTAGAACGTAAACTATTTTTCATACCCCTAAGTGATAAGAGTGATTCACCCTAGGGACGAACCTGAGCGGAGCGAGGGTGAGTCGCTAGTATTTAAATAATCTTTTTCATACAAAAATACTAAAATCGAGACTAAGAAATGGGGGGTGGGTTGGGGGTAGGAAGATACTTTACAACCTATTCTTATACCTTTGGTAGGTATGAGAATAGTTTGTAAAGTATATACAAAAAAAAGATCATTAAAATCGGTCGAGCCGTTTCGGAGGAGTGCGATCACAAACACCGCGACAAGAGATATTTATATATTAGATTTATCGTTACTTACAAAAATAAAATGGATAAGTAAAGTAAGATTTAGATATATGGACTACACCACAGGTACAAAAAGTCCTTGCATTCTCAAATTTCAATGGGTCAACTCGCGGTTAGAGATCAGGCACAAGTCGGACGACTCAACGTGCTCTCGGACTCAGAGTCATGTGTACTACCAACTTTCCAGTTCCAAACTGTTACTTAGAATTTCTTAACAGAAGAACCCGGTGATTACACTTGGGGTTACTTGGGACTCAAACCTAGGACCTTCAGATTTGCAGCCATACATGGTAACTAAACTAGAGAAAAAATATAACTTTATGGTTTTTTAAGGAAAACAAAAATTTGAAAAACGTGAAGTCCGTCCCGAATTTAGGCAGCGTAGTAGACTATAGCCCCTGGCCCACCTCATTGCTACCCGTTAGAAATGGCTTAAATGAGCGGTTCATTAATTGACAAATATTTATTTTCAAGCTATATCTCTCAATACGAGGGGGGACAAGCCATAGCCCGATATGCTAGCCAAGTCGGGTGGTCGGACTACACATGACTTTCGATAACTTACTAAATTCTCTCAGACATGCAGGTTAATTCACGATGTTTTCCATTACCGTAAGGCAACTGATAATCATGTTGGAAATGATTCGCATATGAAAATATCAAAGGCGCGAGACCAGGGATTTGAACCCGCTACACTCGGTTTCCCAAGTAAGCGCGTTAGCACTGCCTTCAAATATACAATATGCGATATATATGTACGTTATTTTTGAAAAACTACAAGGATTCATTTGGAGGGTTATTTGTTACGCAATAGCTTTGCTATTTTTGTGTTTTTTTTTCGTTATATAGTTTTGGTTATCGCTATTAAATAAACCGGCAAAGTGCGAGTCAGACTCGCGCACGAAGGGTTCCGTACTATTATCTATAAAAACGGCAAAAAAATCATGTATGTTGTTGGGAGCCTCATTAAATATTTATTTTATTCTATTTTTTAGTATTCGTTGTTATAGCGGCAACAGAAACACATTATCTGTGAAAATTTCAACTATCACGGTTCATGAGATACAGCCTGGTGACAGACGGACAGACGGACGGACGGACAGCGGAGTCTTAGGAATTTGGTCCCGTTTTACCCTTTGGACACGGAACCATAAAATTGACGTCCGCTTGAAATACTAGATGCTTACTTTATTATGTAAATTGTCTATCAGTCCTTCAACCCAGATCAGGTTATCTTATCAGTTAAAGTTTTGTTATCTTTTACTTGTACAGTTATATTGTTTGTTATATTTTTTAACTGTTAAATATAATAGTAATATCTATGTACTCTATTCAAATCGTACCAGAATTAATTAATTAATTATTGAAGTGAAACTTCTAAAGAATCATTGTGATGATGTAACTATGAAACGAAAATGCGACACTAGAAAGAGACAAACACATAAATATATAGGATTACTAGCATTACCCGCGGCTCCGCCCGCGTTCAGATGACCAAAAACCTTATTTTTAGGTTTTACATATTAGTATACTCTTACAATGCAGTTTTTGTATTTTTTCTTAGAAATGAGATATTTTCCCGCGATAAAAGTATCCTATATGTTGACCCGGATAACCAGCTACCATCATACCAAATTTCATCAAAATCCCTCCTGTGGTTTTTCCGTGATGCGGTAACAGACAGACAGACACAAAAAATCTAAAATCTATAGATTCGGCCTCTGTATCGATAATAATGTCTATTTCAATAAGTTTTTCCAAAAAATATTTAATGAACAGATTCAACTTAGTTAGAATTTTATTACATGTATAGGTAAACCGGCGAGAGAATGAGATAGATTACGTTGCCATGGTAACCGTTGTTATTGTCTGGCAAATATATAATATTATATTCTTTCCGTATATGATATTCTAAAAATATATGATTGTAATATGCCTCATTTAATTATTGATTTGCTTTAATTTATTTGCGATATTTGCCAAAGAAGTTTTACTTCAACCGTGCGTAAAGATTTTTAGAACATTTTTTGATGATGACGTCACCCTAACGTGCCCAAACCGATGTCGGCCACGACGGCCAATCTCACTGAGACTAGCTAACTGCAGGACATATTATAGTACCCAAGTATACGCACAGGCAACTCCCTAGTGCAGCTGTTCCCATTTTTTTGCCACGGAACCCTAATTGATCATATTTTTTTAACGGATCCGCGATTTGATTATAACAAAAATGATCATGTTGTAAACAAATCATAAATGAAAAATATTAATATGTACTTATAATAATATTTATTGTACCACCATTTGGGAACTACTGCTCTAGTGCACTCTCTATTCCTTTTACTTTCGAATTCCAATGGTACGGTAGCAGGTACGGCTGCAGAATCCTGAGGTCCAAGGTTCGATACTCAGGTTGCGCCTAAGTTACTAGAGTACATTTTAAATAAAACTATGTTTTCAGATTTTTTCATTTATTTATTTTGATTTTTGTTTTCCGACGCGGCGTTTCAAATCCTTTGCAGCAATCATGGTCACGAGAGAGACTAGACATATTCGCGAAAACATCTAAAAAGATAGTTTTATTTAAAATTTTAGATAAAATTAAAATTATTTTTTTTCAGCCCCCAACAACCCCTACAACAAGTTGTTGAAGACCTTGGACATAAATGGGAAGACGTTCAAGTATTATGATTTGTCTCAACTCGGAGATAAATATGGTAAGTAATATTCTTCTTGGCTAAAAATTAAAATCATATATTTTCAACCGACTTCTTCAAAAAGGAGAAGGTTCTCTATTTGGCTGTATCTTTATTTTTTTATTGACTCGAAATAAATTTACACAAACATTTTATTATTATACAACTATACTTGATTCTACATCACAAAGTTGTTTAAATTATAAGAAGAAAATATAAGATTAAAGAATAAAATAAAGAACAAAATGTGAGTCGAAATGATGATGTGTTAACTCTAGCTCATAATCTGTGTACAAAATTTGATCCAAATCTATCATACCGTTTCAGTATAAAGGAGTAACAAACAAACATACATAGATAAAAAATTTCGCATTTATAATATTACTAGTCAACATCAGTCCAGCCGTTTCGGAGAATATTCGGAACAAACAGACAGACAGACACAAAAATAGTAAAAATCTTTTTTTTTCTTACAAGTACCGTATATACTTTTATATGCATTTAGTAAAAACTTGTTATTTTGACATTACATATAGACACTTCAATTTTATTGTTGTTCTAAAGGAATAAAATATCATTTAATTCTCTTTCAGACCGCCTTCCATTTAGTATCAGGGTGCTATTGGAGTCTTGTATCCGGAACTGTGACAATTTCCAAGTGCTAGAGAAGGACGTGCAAAATGTTCTCAACTGGGAATCGAACCAGAACGCAGAGAACCCTGTGGAGATTGCTTTCAAACCGGCCAGGGTTATTTTGCAGGTATAATTTTAATTTGTTTTTTTTTATTGACAAATTTTATTTCTTTATTTAAAAAAAATGACAAAAAAAGGGGAAAAAACTATAGGAAAATTTTCTTTATATATTATGTACGTAGTATATTTTTTTTTAAACTAGGATAAAATATTTTAAATATCATGTCATATTAAAGAAATATAATGTAAAATGAAATTAAAACAAAAATGCCCATGTGAATCTTTCATCTTTGTCGCCATATGCGAAAAAAATATTAATTTGAAAAACAAACAAATATAAAAAAAAGAAATATTCCTAAATCATTTTTTTAAATCAATTTTCCAGGACTTAACAGGTGTACCAGCTGTGGTGGATTTCGCAGCGATGCGGGATGCTGTGAAGGATCTCGGAGGCAACCCAGATAAGATCAATCCCATCTGTCCCGCTGATCTTGTTATAGATCACTCTGTGCAAGTGGATTTCGCTAGGGTGTGAGTTTTAAATATATATACAAAAAAATTATATTATATAAATTTAATATACATATATAATTTTACCTTCTTTTTACTTTTTTGTAGGTAAATGAAATTTATTTTAAAATAACTTTTTTTTATATTTAATTAAATGTGTTTATATTGGTTGGATACGATATACGTTATTTTTTGTATATGAAATATTTTTATACATATATAAATATACATTTATGAAAAAGAACATATCTATATATATAAAAGGCAAATGTGATTGACTGATGTACCAACGCAAAGGCTCTTAAGGCTAGAAAATTGAATTTTCGCACACGTATTCCTTATATGACGAAGGTATAGCGGTGAAATAGGGGATAACACTTTGTATGAAACTTTTTATTCCTTGGACATATTTGCATGAAATTTCGTATGAATTGAGTACGGCAAAAATAATGAGTTACGTATTTCAGCGTTTTCTAAAATTCAACCCATAAGAGGGTAAAATAGGGGATGAAAGCTTATATGAAACCCACTTTTTAGAGGTTTTTTGTAGTTTTAGCGCGAGCGAATCCGCGGGTTCTGCTAGTTGTTACTATTAAAACTCTAATTGTATATTTTTTTATATATTTCTTTATTAAAAAAAAAATAAATTAATTAAAAAAATATATATTCCCATGTGGCGTATTCTGAATTTCACTAAAATCCATTGAATCCTTATAGCGTAAAAAAGTGACAAACAAACACACACTTATAATATTAGTGTAATATAATATATTATTTTCAGACCCGATGCTTTAAATAAAAATCAAGAGCTTGAGTTTGAGAGAAACAAAGAGAGATTCCAGTTCTTAAAGGTAAAAAATTAAACAATTTGTATCATACAAGTTAGGAAGTGTCCATTAATTATGTGAGCTGTTTTTCTTTCAATTTAGACTCTTGAATGAATCTTGGTGAGTTTAAGTGAGATTTGGTGGGACTCCCCCTTTCCCCTCACGTGAGATTTACGCTACAGTTGTTAAAGGACTACATTTATGTTCACATAATATAAAAATAATACAATGTTCACGTATTTTTAATTGGGCAAAATGGGACACTTCAAAAGAAGTAAAAAAATAATAATTTATCTGTGCTATATATATTTCCTTTTAAAGTGTCAAATTTTCTATTATCCCCCCCTCTGTTGAGATTTGATGAGATTTTACTGGACTCTGAATCGGTCAAGCCGTTCAGGAAGAGAATGATTATAGACACCAGAATTTTATTTTATATATGTATAAAGGAGAACACGTACAAACATTCGTATATGTAATAATGTCATTAATATTTTGTATGCATATCCACAGTGGGGAGCTCAGGCCTTCGACAACATGTTGATAGTTCCTCCGGGATCCGGGATAGTGCATCAAGTAAGTATATATACAGGATATAATTCAATAAGGAATATGCGTGTGATTTAAATAAAGGTGAATTTTTCTTGAAGTGAAACTTCTTTAGAATCGTTGTGATTTGAAACTCGATGAAACGAAAATGCGATACTAGAAAGAGACAAACACATAAATATATAGAATTAAGCCGGCGAGAGAATGAGATAGAATACATTGCCATGTTGCCACGGTTTCCGTTGTTATTGTCTGACAAATATATAATATTATATTCTTTCCGTATATGTAATTCTTTAAATATATGATAGTAATATGCCTTATTTAATTATTGATTTGTTTTAATTTAATTGCGTTATTTGCCAAAGAAGTTTTGCTTCAACTGCGCGTAAAGGTTATACTTGCCCATTATTTTTTGTGATCTTTATTGCTTTTGAATTAAGCATATATCAATATTTTTTAATATAATAATTAAAATTATAATATTTTTTAAAATAATTTATTTTTGATAAAGAAAATAATTATTGAAAAGTGTAAATATAGGTGGGAAATTTAAAGTAATTGAAATGCACGCCATTGGTCAGACGGAATGTGACGTCAGAGTATATCATAACAGAGCGATGCGATGTTGTCGCTACAAACTGCGTCGCCATGTCTCTGTGTACACCACACTGTGACGTCACGCCGAGCGCGCGGTATGGCGGGCGTTTAAAGTATCCGTATCGGTATGATATTAAAAAATGTAGACAAAATTTTAGTTTTCTAGAGCTGGATAGGTTTTTTACAATTATATGACGACTAAAGATAGCTATTGTATAAAAAAAACCACGCATATTAGCTATTCTTTTGTTTGTTTCTATCAGAGTACGTAGAAAAAAAAGGCGCGAATGGATCCTAAAAATAAGTTCTTTTTATTTTTTCAGGTGAATCTAGAATATTTAGCTCGTGTAGTGTTCACTGGAAACATGTTGCACCCCGACTCAGTGGTGGGGACGGACAGTCATACTACCATGATCAATGGGTTGGGCGTCGTCGGGTGGGGGGTGGGCGGTGAGTTACATACATACAAATATAGATACACATACACACATATATATGTAACACACATACATATACACTAGTGATATATCGAATATTATATGTACATGTTATATACTTTGATTTTAACAAGCTAACATGGATCGTTTGGAAATGCATTTAGGCATAGCCCGGGCATTTTAACCGGGAATTAACAAATATTGTAAAGTACTTTGGTGCCATTTTTCAATTTTTTGAATTCATTTTGTTAATTTATGGGTAGGCTGTCTGTAACAAGTATATAATGCCTTTTGAGACATCTAACACTTTAGTTTCTCCCGTGACCATGATTATTGTAAAGCATTCGAAACGTCGGGGACCAAAAAATCTAAATAAATCAGCGAAATAATCCGAAAAGATGGTTTTATTTAAAATAACTTTTTCATTTTTACACCAACCAGGGATCGAAGCGGAAGCAGTCATGCTGGGACAAGCCATCAGTATGTTATTACCGAAAGTGGTGGGCTACAAGTTAGTGGGCGAACTGGACCCATTGGCCACGTCTACTGATTTAGTACTCACTATTACCAAGGTAATTTTTCGTTATATTTTCTTAGATTTACACGAATATTTGACATCTATTCTGATATTATAAATAACAAAAATTTGTTTCTTTTTGTTTTTTTGTTTCTGTATTTGTTTGTATCGAATAGGCTCCGTAACTACTGAACCTATTTAGATGAAATTTGGTAAGAAGATTGTTTGAGACCCTGGGAAGGACATAGGATTGTTTTTTCCCAGAAGTGATTGGTTAAAGGGGTGAAAATAAAACGAATGCTTTACAGCAATCATGGTTACGGGAGAGACTGAGGTTTTAGACGTCTCCAAGGTCATTATATAGTTGTTACAGACAGCACCTACCCACAAAATTACAAAAGAAAAATATAAAATGCACCAAAGAATATATTTCTCAAAGATGAGGTATTTTCTACCGGGTCAACATATAAAATTATCCTATATGTTGACCCGGATAACCAGCTGTCATACCAAATTTGATCAAAATACCTCGAGTGGTTTTTCCGTAATGCGGTCACAGACAGACAGACAAACGGACAGAATTACTTTGGTATTTATAATATTAGGATGGATTTGATTTGTTATCGTTGTCGCCCAGCACCTGCGCTCTTTGGGCGTGGTGGGTAAATTCGTGGAGTTCTTTGGGCCCGGCGTGGCGGCGCTGAGCATCGCGGACCGCGCCACCGTCGCCAACATGTGTCCCGAGTTCGGTGCCACCGTCGCTCACTTCCCCGTCGACGCCCGCTCTCTGCAGTATCTCAGTCAGACTAGTGAGTTTGTTTGTTCATTATTTTGAGCGGAACCCTAATTCTTATTTCCAAAATAAAAGTTGCTTAAGTTACTCCTTATAACATCAACATTTTTTAGTATTGTACATAATTTAAAAAAAGTTGTTATTTTGACGTTACATAGAGACTTTGATTTTATTTGTATAGACTAAGTATTGTTAACGATTAGTATGGGATAGATAGAATATATCCATCCTTAATATTATAAATGTGAAAGTGTGTTTGTTTGTTTGTTTTTCTTGCCCTTCAAGGGATGGTCTGTTTTATAAGAATTATAATATTTAAATTGTTAAAAAAAAAACTATGAAATAATGATATATAATATGAAATATGGACCTATTTTAGTCCATACTCCATAGGTTAAAAGACTTGTATTTCAAATAAATAATTTAAATAAGTAAAATTTTACCATAATATTAATATCAAATATAAATCTAGAAAATAAATATTTCTAGATCGAGCTGCGGATAAGATCAAAATAATAGAAGAGTATTTGAAAGCAACCAAGCAGTTTAGAAATTACAACAATCCTGACCAAGATCCTATATTTTCGGAGGTAAGCTATATTTTTTGTTATATTTTCCTTGCATATTTATTATCTGTGGACAAATTGAGCTGTGGATGAACTTTTGACTGCCTCTGTGGTCAAGCATGAACGACAGATTCAAAGGTCCTGGGTTCGAATCCTGGGTCATTATTCAGTTTTTCTGACAGAATATTTACAATAACAGCTCGGAATTGAATCCCCGTGGCAAAGCAGATCAGTACACCTGATCTCTCACCGGTCGTGTCTCGTGTCGTCCCACCGGAGTGAGAGTGACTGGAATAGAGAGTGCACTTGTGTCTTGTGCATACAAAACAATCATCAATCGACCAACTTATCAATCAATAGTAAATAATAATTATTTTAGTACATTAACACATAGCACCATCCATTTTCATGGTAAGCTACGAGGCTTATGTTATGGATACCAGATAGTTGATACACTACACATATATAACTTTAAATACATACATATTATAAATATAAACACCCACGATTAGAGTACAAACATTTGTGCTCATCACACAAACGAATGTCCCCAGCGGGACTTGAATCCGCGACCGCTAGCACAGCAAGTAGGGTTACTACAAACTGAGCCAAACGTGTCGTCAAGTGTCATCAATCAAACTTTATATTTCTAAATAGATTATATGTTTTCCCAGATAGTAGAACTGGACCTGTCAACGGTAGTGACGTCAGTGAGTGGACCAAAAAGACCACAGGATAGAGTGTCCGTGTCGGTCATGAAGAAAGACTTTGTGGACTGCTTGAGTAATAAGGTTTGTTTTTTTATTTTACTATCTAGAAATTAGACTGGCTTAGATTTAGCTAGAAGAACCAGAAGTGTAGTGTATTTTGGTTTGCATGTGATTGCGTGGAGGAGATCTGTGAGTGGTCTTGTATAAATAGAAAAAATAAAATGTCTGATGGTAGAATATTTATGTTCCTTTTTGAGCTGGTTTTCAATTTCGAGAGATTATGTTCTATCCTTTGTATATATATAAATAAACAAATTATATTTCTTCGTAATTATTTACCAGTGACAGTAATCAAACACCCAGTGACAGAATATAAACATGTCTGCTGAGTAATTGAACACTACTACTGGGATTTTTCTCTTGATGTTTCTCAGCCAATTTTTATAGATATTACTCACCAGTGACAGTAATTATAAACCCAGTGACAATATAAACATGTCTACTGAGTGAATAACTACCACCACTAATGAATTAGTATGAATTATTAACTTATTCTTTCATCTTCCGTCGAGTTTTTCTCAGTGATAGTAACCACAAACCCAGTGACAGATATAGTCAGAATGTCAATTGAGTTAGTGGAAACTGTCACTAAAAATTAGTTATCTGTAATCGCGAAAGAACGAATAGAAATACATTATTACGATGTAAGTTTATACTATAATATAAATCTTTTGAGATAAATGTAATCAATCGTAGATAATAATCATCAGGAACAGTAATCATTTACCCCGTGACGTAATATAAACAGAAATATTACAATATAACATAAATATTACAGTATAACATAAATACTATATTCCAAATTATTTACATACAACATACAAAGCCTAGTATAGTAAGCCAAGCCAATAGAAAAAAAACTTTAATAAATACACTTTTTTGTGTTCTTTGTTTTTCTTCAGGCTAAGATAAAAAAACTATTTGTAATGAACAAACAAGTTTTTGTTTTGAACTTATAGATCTCGATTTGTTTTGGCATAGCGGTTATTTAACATTGCTCATAGCATTATCGTATCTTAAATCAACTATTGTAAAAAAAAAATTGTAACCTCCTTTGCTATTCAAGAATTAAAAAATACAATATAAAGAATTTTAATGACGGATTTAAGTTTAGTGACAATATAAAATAATAATTTAAATTTAAATATTTGACCTTTACTCTCACCTTTGACTTCGAGAGTAAAAGGAGTACAGAGTGCCGCCGTGACTGAAATCTGTCAGGAGAATATTGTTAATGATGACATTAATCGCTGATATAAATCCATAATGACAGTAATTAAACACCCAGTGACAGAATATGCACATGTCTACTGAGCGAGTGATTACCACCATTCATAGATTATCCATCATCAATATTTTTGTCTGTTTTCTTTATTCTAGTTTTGGAATGTAAAACAAAATCGAAAACGTTTCCTAACACCTCTTCGCATGTGTAGCAGTAATCTTCAGTAATAGTAATCATGCACCCAGTGACGGATTATAAACATTACTGAGTGAATAACTACCATCACTAAAAGATTATATTTCCACGATTAATTTATGCCTCCCGACGAAACTTTTAAATATTTAAAAAATTAAATAAATAAAATTATTTTATTTATTTATTCAAACTTAAATCCACAGCTACATACAGAGATAGAAAATACATAAAAAGAAAAGTCCTTATATAAGCCAATTTCTAAAGGATTTTAATTATTAGATGGGTAGACTAAGTGTAAATGTATTAAAGAAACTAAATCAATTACACAGAAAAAACAACAAAACAGACAAACGGAAAAAAACAGCATGTTAGGGATACGGCCATTCATTATTCTATTTATGATTTGTATATTGAGTGTCTTTAGTATGTTGAGTGTATGTGCGTGTGCTTATTTGAGTGTTTTTTTAAGACAATCTAAAAATGATTAAAAAGAAATGATATAAAAGTATCGAAATTATGCTGACGTGGTTAAATTGACTCTAAAACTCATATTATTCCAATGCTGATGCCGATTCCAATAATGAGTATTTTTTGTAAAATTCTTCTTTGCTATGTATATAAATCTTCTTGTTTACCATCGATGAGTATTCTTTTAATTCTCTTCAGTGATAGCAATCACATACCCAGTGACAGAAGAATAAATGTCTACTGTGTAGGTGAAAGCTATCACCAATGAGAAAATGTTCTTATCTTCTTATATTAAACTGAATTATATTCTTTTTCTAAGGCAGCTCGGAAATCTACAGTGGCAATAATCATACACCCAGTGACAGAATAACAACTGGCTACTAAGTGAATGACTACTACCACTGTATGATTATTGTTTTATGAGATGTCTCGTAACTGATGTTATTTCTCCTTAAATTTTACTTGATGAGTTTGTCTTCTATGGCAATAATCGCATACCCAGTGACAGTATTTAATCATGTCTACTAAGTAAGTGATTACGACTATAAGTTGACTTCGTCCATAAACCATTTAACTATGAACATTCATAATGTTATAATGGTTGCTATGAAAATCTTGAAGTCTATTCTTAAAATTATTTCTCCAAAATAATATTTTATGATATATGTATTAGTGATTAAATATTTTGCACGATGATATCTCTCTATTAATAGCAATCGTATACCCAGTGACAAAATGAAAATGTCCACAGAGTAAGCGAAAGCTATTAATATAAAGATTTGTATAACTCTTCATTTTTCTTGAATCTTCTTGTTGATATATTAATTATTATTATTTCTTTATTTTGTGGTTAGACTACAGTGACAGCAATCACATACCCAGTGACAAAATATAAGACTGTCAACAGAGTAAGTGACTGCGATCACTACTAGGCTAATTCAATATTATACTTATAAACATTTTGAATAAGAAGTTTGTATTCTACGGTTAGATCTGTCAAACACCCAGTGATAGAACTATTACACTAACTACTGTTTGATTGACAGCTCCGACTGTAAGAATGTATTATCTTTCTTATTTTTTTTTAATTCTGAAGCTATCTCCAATGGGAGTAATCACTAACCCAGTGACAGTTTTCAACATGTCTACTGAGCGAGTGAATATTAACATTGTCAGATACATTTTGAAGTTTTCTCTTTTTTGTTCACTTCTTAAAACTATAATTAAAGAAATAATTGATGATTAGACCATCAGTAACAATAATCACAAACCCAGTGATAGGTAACGTTCAAAAATATCTACTGAGTACATGACTACGATTACTAATAGTCTGTCTAGATCTTCATTAAACATTTTTTGTGGGTCTATCAGCGAGATCTGTCAATTACCCAGTGATAGAATTTTGCCACTATGTACTGAATGGCTGACAGTTCTGACTGACATATACATTTTAAAATTATTTGTAGAGAAAATAACATTTTTTTTAAGAAGTGACAATCTTTAGAGGCAGTAATCATAAACCCAGTGATAGATTTAATAACACATGTGAGTACTACTTTAAAATATTTGCTGCTAAAAATAAATATATTTTAGGAAATAAAAATAAAAAAAACTACCTACGTAAGGCAGTCATTTCGGTGACAGAATTAACTTACCCAATGACAATGAAATACAAATTGTTGAGGTAGTTGTATGTACGACCATTGTAATTGTTTCATACGAAATATTCGTATATGTAACAATATTAAAGATGATATTATAAAAATAAATCATGAACACTGATGATTTCTTCTAACAGCAAGATTTGTCAAACACCCAGTGATAGAACTTACACTACCTACTGAGCGATTGACAGCTCTGGCATTTAGAGATAATGAGATGGCTTTTTACATTATTTGACAGCAAATTATTTGAAATAATAAATTCCTCCAAAGATCGATAATCTTGTGACAGATAAAGTGACGTGACTACTGAGCCAGTGACTACTATTTTTAATAAATTTATATTCTTCTCTAAATTCTTAGATGAAATAGTTATCTAATTATAATTATTAGTATGACAAATTTAATATCAGTATCTATCAGCGAGATCTGTCAATCACCCAGTGATAGAACTGTGACACTACCTATTGAGTGATTAACAACGCTGACTGACAGATTACTAGAAAACAGTAATTTAAACATCCAATTTATACAAACCATTGTATTTATCAACACTTGACACAAACAATAAATTACCAAACGCACAAATGAATTTTTTTTCGATAAACACCTTATTTTACACACAATTCAGCACAAAATCCGTGTTCCTTAGATATTGTGACGACGAGTTTTAAAGAAAGACTGATAGCGATTGTCATACGACGTAGCGTATTTATATGACAGGAGTGGGAATGAAATTATTAATAACAGATAATTAATTACACCTTAAATATACATTAGCTAATGAAAGGGTAATTAGTAAATTAGATTTTAGTATTAAAATGATTTGCCTAATTATTTACAACTTGTTTTGTAGTTTTTGTTTTGATTATTACAATAAAAATATACAAATAGTTGTTTTTTTTTGAGTAGAAATGCTAAGAATGGAGAGGCATGTGAAAAATAATTATGTTTTAGCTAAAAAAACCTCTTTAACGTCCCACTACTGGATATGGGCCTCAGATATGCAGGTTTCCTCACGATGTTTTCCTTCACCGTTAAGACAAGTGGTAATCATGTTAGAAATGATTCGTACATAAAAATATCAGAGGTGCGAGACCCGGGATTTGAACTCGTTTCACTCGGTTTCTCAAGCGAGTGGGTTACCACTGGGCTACCACTGCCTTTTTTATATATAAGTATCTGGACTTTTTTCGGAAAAGATATAAGCGCAATTTTTATGGCTTTTCCAAATAACGCCTAGCGAAAAGATAAAATACTTTTTTTGCAATTGGTTAAAGAAGATGGTCCAATGGTCCATTAGTAGGGAATACCATAACGAGATTTTTTCTTTATTTAATGGTATTCAACAATAAATTTTTTACTAAAAATCATTTCATTTTCTAAAGATATTTATGAAACCTGAAGGCGATTACATAATTCCTAAGGTGTTTTGTCTCCGAGATTCATCATTTCAACACACAAACGTATTT